GGGGGGGTGTGTGTGTATATATATATTATTATTATTTTTTAAATTTTAATGGGATATGTACTAACGCAGCTTTTCTTAAAGGTCAGCAGTCTTCTCACTGTGGTCTGTAGTGATTACCTGCCCCACCCCCAGCAATCCACAGTATAAAATATTGTTGGAATAGTGCTAAGGGGGATATATGGATAATTCAAAATGTGATCAGAAAAAAAAAAAAAAAAAAAAAAAAATGTAGAATGTGTTGAGAACAATAACTACCTCAATGCTAGAAAATCCTGTAAATCTCTTCTGGAGAGTTATGTCAGTTAAACTGTGCTCTTATGAAGGCACGAAACTCATTTCACTGTTTTCTACCAGTCTGAGAAACGGGAATCCAGAGGTTGCTTCCAAATGCATCCTGAATGAAAGTACGTCGTACTTATCAGTCTAAGCCATGTGTGAGAAAATCTGCCAAATCAGTAATTCCAACCTGTCTGCTGGGGAACAATGTGAGGCTTCACTTTAACAAATTAGAAATTGCTGTAGCTGGTCCTCAGCCCTTCCTCCCAGTGACCAAAATATTTAAAGGTGTTTTAAGTAGATAACAGTATCTTAGTCTTTCTTTTATGATTCAAATGAATAAATACAAACTATACATTATGATGTATTGCATAAAGTATGGAAGCATGTAGGATGGTAGGAAGGACTGTTATTACATTACTACTGATGGTTCAGGTAATGGTTTTATTCCAAGTCTTCTTTTTCAGTGTTTTGTTTTGTGGTTGTTTGTTTTGTTTTTTCTTTTAAGGTGAAGGTTTCCTTTTGCTTTTAGATTTATCTCATCTCCCTTTAAATCCAGAAGGGATTTAAGAAAGCAAAAATCTAGAGGAATAGGTATTTTTTTTCCATATTGTGTTTCTGGTGAAAGGGAAAAAAAATTCAGTTCTATCACTGCCAAATTGTTTATTAAAGACTTCATCCCTTGAACTTTGAGCTTAAATTTTTATGTATGACCTGCTTGCATGTCTTATTAGAAATGCGTACTTCCCTAATTGTTGGAAAACTATTGGGAGATACTGCAGTGTGCTAATGAGGGGTTGAACGCTCTGTCCGTGGTCACATACGCAGAAGGAAGATAATGAAATCACTTTAGGTGTCTAAGAATCTTTGAGAATTTTTTTAGAACACTCTTGCTTTCCTTCCTCTGGCAGAGGTGTGCTTGGTGCAAGAATAATAAGGGAGGGGAAGAAGCCTGGCAGGAAGTCAGTTCTGAATCCTTAATGCATCGTTGTCAAGCTTGGCTGTATTAGATTGCTTGAAAGGTTATTTTAACTCATGCCACTGCCACAAGCTCCCCAGGCACTGTCATGCCAAAGAGGACACAAAGAATGGCAGAACTCTGACACTCCTACGTTGCTCAGAGATGCTCGGCTCTCCTGGTTTCATGCCAGTGATTAGTTCTTTTTTCCTTTCCATCCTCGGTGCCAGTAACATTTGAGACTGGTGTTTTGTAGCCCAGGCAGATCAGAGAAAATGCAGATGCCTGTTGCATGTCAAGGATGTGCACTCATGCACTTAACATACATAGGGTAATTAGTAGGATCAGCAAACTTTCTGAATAGCTTCACTGTCCATTAATCTTAGGTACTTTCTCTCTGCTTTGTGCCGGTGGCACTCTGACTCAGTAATGCTTCTCTCAAATATTCACACTTTCCAGTGGAAGCAGAGTGGTAGTACCTAGTTGCCTGTTACTTCTACCTTGTGGCAGGATAGGGTTTAATGAAATCATACCTTTTTTGTTTGATGCGGCCCTTCTAAGATCTCAGTATAGATAAAATACACAAAAGCTATTAAGGTTTGAAAGCTCCGAGGTACTGCTTTAGACTATTTATAGCTGATAAACATTTGCTGTATTTTTCTTCTCTGAGAATCTCTATGTTTTAGTTAATTTTAGTTTATTTTTTTCCAAAAACCTAGACACTTGGGGTCAAAATAAACATTGGTTGATTTCAAGTAATGCTGCGGAGGCACCAGCAAATCTTTTGTACTCGCTTTTGAACAGCTTTAATCCTTAGCATTCAGGCTTTATATTAAGCAAGAGGCCTTTAATGTGCTAGGTAACTACCCTTCTGCTTGAAAATTGACTTTTGTGTCCTGAATTAGAGAGTTTACCTTGAGCAGCACTAGAAAAACTCTCAGTAGTCACTCTGTGTTGATTCTTTGAAGTTGCAGATTATAAAGATGCATGGCAGTAAACATATATAATATTTTCTCCCTGAATTTGGAAATACGTTCGGCTCTAAGCTGAATTGTGCATATGAAAATGGGTGCACAGTAAAGGCATGACTCCAGAAAATATAGGTGCCATAGAGCTCTGTATTCCTGCCAGCCCCACTTGTATACACTACAAGCAGATGCCAAATTGTGTTGCACACAGTTTGTGTCCCTCTGGGCTTTCCTAGAGCCGTTATGTCCTTCAGCAGGTTATAGTTGAGAGCTTAGAAAATGGAAGAAATGTCACCATAGCAGGGAAAAAAAAAAAGCCTCCATGCTTCTCCAGGCTTGTGTCCTTGTGGAACATTTGGGAAGAAAGTGAGAATATAAACATACCTAAATTTAAGTTTGGCTCATCTCTTGGTGAGTTCTTAAAACTCTAGTGTCATGTCCTTAGCAATAATAAAACATCCTGTAAATTTCACAAGAAAATGATTAAGTATTTACATAAATGTTTCCAGAAGTTTACAGCTGCTAAGAATACATGTAAGAATACTGTAAGAATACATGTATTGACTCTATAAGGTCTTATATTTAGAAAGCTGTACTTAATCAAGACCAAATTCCTTCCTGTTAAGTATTTAAAGCTCAATATGTTTTTTTCATCAAGAAACACAGTAGCTGCTTGCTGCTGCTCTCTAGTTTGTGGGCAACTACATGCTCAAACCTTCATGTCAATCATCCTTTACAGATACTCTAAAGCTGGTTTGTTGGATTGCTGCATTTCTGTCAAAAATGGTTGTAAAAGGCAAATCTAATGCTGAAGTGTCCCACAGAAGATTTTGCTAATGCTTCTAATAGTTCAATCTCAATAGATTACCTTTCAACCTGGGCAATTTTTTTTAAAGAGGAAGTAAACCCTTTACTATTATTGTTCCGTTTTGAGAGCTGCTTTTAAAGATTTGTTTGGTTTCCTACTGCACAATTTTCTCTGAATGTTTCTTCAGAAATAGAAAATCAAACCTTTTGAGCCATTTCTGGAGTTGTTGTGGGTGGTGGAGTTTTTTTGGTGGGGTTTTTTTGTTTTTTGTTTTAGGCTTTGTTTGTTTGTTTGTTTTGTTTTTTAAACCTGATTTGGCCAGAGAACACAAGCACAGTGTTTGAGATGAAGACTTAGCTTCTGTGATTTAGGAGTTACGGATTTGCTTTGACATCACAAATTAGTACTGGCATGAAATAGTGATTTCTGCCAATATATTTTTGGGTTGCCCATATCCCTAACTACCTTTGTATTTATGCACTATTTCATATATATAAATAGGAATGTCTATCTGTTCCATTTCACATTTCTTACTATTAGATTTATCAGCTGTTCTAGAAATAGAATTACTTTTCATGCGACACATCTTGGTTTTTTGTATATGTGAAAGCTCTTTGGGTAATACCTAGTGCTGCATTGATATAATGATAGAAATGTCAAAAGGAATAGATAGAATGGGATGGAAGACACTTGAACGTTTGATCTTCATATGAATTATTTTAAAGAATCAGAACCATAGGCTATTTCCCAGTAAGTTTGTAGGGGACTGCTACAACTCTATTCCCCCTTCTCCCCTTCTGTAGTTGCAGGTAAGTTACTCAATTCTTCCACTGAATAACCTGTTCAATTTTTTTTGGAATGAGCTTCATTACTTGGTACTTTTCTTCATGAGTCTAGTTCTCCTTTCCATTTCCATACCTCTTAAAGGCCTGGTCAAATATATCTATATTTTAAAATAAAAGATGAGGTTGCATATTTCTTAGGAAACTGTTATTTTGGGAAGGTTATACCAGAATCAGCAATGGTTCTTGTTCAGGTATTCTAAGACTAAAGTACATTTTCTACAGAAACTATTTTATCTTTGGCTTTCTTTTTTTTTTTTTTTCGCCCTAGATTTTTTTTTTTAAGAAACAATGACTTAATATAATTAAGCTGTTTTACTTAAAGTGCTTCCTTAAAAAAAAAATCTCTAATATTTACAGACAGTCCTAGGGTCTCTGACCCCAATATTCCCCTAGTGGCCCGTGAGATCATGCAGCGAATGATCCGACAGTTTGCTGCTGAATATACCTCAAAAAATAGCTCTACTCAGGACTCCAGCCAGCCCAATAGCACAAAGAACCAAAGCCTGCTGAAAGCATCTCTGGTCGCCTCCTCTCCCACGGCTGCAACTGCTCAGAACCCCGTGCTCAGCAAACTTCTCATGGCTGACCAAGACTCACCTCTGGACCTTACTGTCAGAAAGTCTCAGTCAGAACCTAGTGAACAAGGTAGGACTCTTATCAGTGTCTTGCATCCTATGGCAATCCGTTAATGGCATTCTTGTTGCAAAACCAGACAATTAGAAGTTTGCGCTTTTACATAGTCTGTAAAGTGGAAAAGCGGTAGATGTTTTTACAATAAAAGAATGACTAGCTAGATGTGACTGGGAGAGAAGAGACTTTTTGAAAGAGAAGAAATGAGTGATTTTTCTGAATAAGGGCAAAGGGGATGGACGTGCTCCAAATTCTGGGGACAAGCGTGCAGCTCCTGCTGGGAGCTGCAAGAAACAGTCTGCCAAAATAGACTGTACGCTTGCTGATAGGACAAGTTCACGTGGTCATGAAAAACATAATGTTGTCTCCTTTCTGACGATCAGCACACAGTCTGACTGAAGGACTGATTTATTTTCTTTCTGGTCATAGTGTGAAAACACTATCTTCTAAAAGTCTGTGAGAAACTGCTTTGTGAAAGCTGTAAAAATGATACTCACGAACTGCACAAAACTTCCAGGTTTATGCATTTGGAATAAATGTCTCTTTTCTACCTTAAAAATAGACTTGTTCTGCAGAGCACAGATTGAATAACTTGTAACAGTGTTGCAGAGCCTGTTTTAATTTGGAAACCTTGCTTTCAATCAAAAATGTTTTTTAACAAGCAAATGCTGTGAGTGATTATAGTACGTGAATGGTGTGTTTTTTTTCCTGAAACTGTTGAATAGAGGTTATCATAAGTCTATCCTACTGATAAGATTAAAATAAGCCCCTTTACCCTTCCTTAGAAGTATGTTAGTGGCTGAAATCATTCTATCAAATACAAAGTAGGCTGTCCATCCTCAAGTAGAAAAGGTGCCTTTAAAAACAAAAAATCTCTTTTGCTAGCTAGTACAGAGTTGTAGGTATCCCTTTATTCTTGGAACTTAGGTTTATGAAGCATTTTGTAAAAAGGTTAATTTTATGTGTCCAGCAATATGCAGCTTGAGCCTCTGGACACTTATTGCATTTATAGCACTTACTGAAAGTTGTCACCATGCTTCAGTTACAAAACTGCAGTGAAAGGAAGGTTAGCTGGTGTCTTTCTTGAAGTGAGGGCTTATACATTTAGCTGATAGGTGTTTGTTTCTAGCTAATATTATTATAAATTATTTCATTAGTGTCTTTTGCATATATGTTTATAGATGTCAAAATGTTCTCATTGTGAAGCTTTTCACTGAAAGAAGGAGAGAATCAGTTTTGCTTCTGTTGGTTGTTTTTGGGGTTTTTTTAATTAGAGGATTGTATGGCGAGGAAGAAAGCATGTACATGTTCTTCAGCTACCATGTGATAAAAAAGCTGTGAGATGATAATTTATAATGTTCATAACACTTGTTATGGAATTAGAACATGTGCATATTAACTTGTACAGTAATCTGTTTGCTGATGTAATTATTTTTTTTCCCAATTTACATTTAATGTAATTGGGAAGAGGTTTTGCCAAACTTGTTAACGAGAGATTTAAGAGGCTGTCAGGAAAGACTGCTGGTGGTGCTTTTCATTATATTTCTGTTCTAGTGGGGCGAGGGGAACCCAGCTAGTTGTAAACTTCTCCGTGGGGTATGAGGCTGGTCCTACTTGCCCTTGGACACTTCTAGGTCATAATAGCGCTTCTGACAGAAGAAGCATGGATGCAAGTGCCTTTGGCAGCAGTCTGTGCTGTTTAGTAGAGCCTCTTGAAAAGGAGGTTCTACTTGATCCAGCCTCTGTATCTTGTGGCAGCATAAGTGTTGTTCAGAAGGAAAATTGAATTGTCTGCTTGCTTAAGTTTGGGTTATGGTGTGTTCCCAAATGCAGTGGGTGGAACAGCTTTCCGTAAGTTAATTCTAGTTCACTGTTTATCGTGTTTTTTCTCCATATGGCAAATGAGAACTTCAAGCAATCTGAAACCCATCTTGCATTGTTCTTGTGTTGGATGGTATTTACTTGAGTAGAGGGAATGAGCGAGGAGCTCTGAAATGTCTCTAGTCTACCTTGCCAACAGGTTTTATTTATCTTTGCCTTATAAATTCCTTGTTTGAAAGTTTCCAGGAATTTCAGATGGCTGTGCTGCTTCTATGACAATGTTGCCCTTTTAAAATGACCAGAATTTCAAGTTATTTCAGTGTAGTGGGAGCAAGGCTTTTCTAGCAAAAAGTGCTCCCTTTTCCGTTGCCTAGAAATGCAGAGTTTGTGTAAAGGGCTCAAGGAGCATGGGCGAGCGTGAGGAAGTGCCATTAGTGAGAATGGAAGAAGCAGTCTAGCAGGAAAAACAATTTGGTATATGGAAAAAGAAAGAGAGTAAAATGGCACAATAGAGAGGGGAAAGGCTGCTAGGGACCCATCAGAGATATGGAAAAAAGGATGAAGCTAGCTGCCAGGTGAGGAGGAGTCTCAAATTTACATGTGTGTATTTATTTGAAAGAGAGTTTCCAATGTGAAGTTTTCAATGAATTTCCTACAGAGATTTGGATTTTTAAAAAAATTCACATACTGGCTTAAACCCCCCCAAATGTCAGAAACTTGTAGAATGTCTCATTTTCGGACCGATGAGGGCTAGTTATGCAATAGGCTGTGTTGTATCCTGAACTGTCATTTGTAGGTCATCTTTTATTCTCTGGCCCTTGGTAACAGATGTACATTTAATTTTGCCAAATTTTGTTGTGACTTCTGAGGACTATGTTGAAGTTACTTGTAAGCCAAATTGCAAACAAATCCAAGCCTTAGTTTGTTTAAAACTAAAATAAATTAGAAAATGGTGTATGCTAAATATGACTTTAGTCCAAAAGCTTTGTTTTGTCAAGGGACAACGTGGCTGATCTTGTTTCTTCAAACGCTGAAGTCATTCTTTTGTCTATACAGACGGTGTGCTTGATTTATCCACTAAGAAGAGTCCTTGTGCCGGCAGCACCTCTCTGAGTCATTCTCCAGGGTGCTCCAGTACTCCGGGAAATGGGTAAGAGAAAGCAACTTACTATGACCTTTTAAAACTGTTTTTTACTAAAAAAAGTGTGCTTACCTCCTGTTAATTTTAACTTACTTTTGGTGTTAACCCTTTGGAGTAATGTGTTTTTCAACTTCCACCTTTGGTAAATACCTTCATCCCACCTGCCAAATAAGAGTTGTTGCAAACTGAGACAGGTTTAACTTGCATTTAAGAAATCTAATATCTGTTATTTTGGCCAATTTCGTACTTAGCGATAGATATTTCTATTACCTGCTTCTTGGGTTCAGTGATACGTGATGTCCATGGAGATACAAGTTCAGTTAAATGTATGAAGAGTCTTAGAGGCTTTGCAATATAATTTAGTTTTCATTTCACTTAGGGGAGAGATACTTAACAGAAAAGTTTATTTTAGTGGCAGTAATGATTTGGGCGATGAACCAAGCTGAATTAGATTTAAATCACTGCATGTTCTTTGTTAATATTCCATAGTGTAAAACACAACTTAAAGAAAAGGCCGGGGGGAGTGTCTGGTAGTTCAGAAAACTTTAAGTATGGCTTTTTGGATTTGTGATTGTACTGTAGCACTGAACAAGTTCTTTATTAAAAAAAAAAAAAAATGTGGTGTCCTAGTCTTGCCTTAATTAGTTCAAGGTGTGAAAGAACGTCATATCAACAAAATTTCTTTTAAGGTCTCATATTTGTAATAGTCACTGTTTGTATACATTTAGAAACCCTTTTGTCTTAGCTAGGATTGAGCTAATGGTATTGGAGAGGCTGACTGGGAGTAAGAGGGATTTTGGGTGTTGATGGGAGAATTTTTTCTTGAAGCAGCTCTGAACAAGTAATTTCTTTAGTGAAGTGCAGAAACAGTATATGATTTAAACTGCCATTTAATTGCTTGATTTAGCTATACAATAAACTTTGGAAAAACTAGACATTTTAAACTAACAACCCACCACCACCAATCCCATGTACTGCTAACAACTGATTTAACTTTCACATCTCTCTTTGGAAAAATATTACTGTCTCAGATGTCTCCAAGATTCCTTTTTCCATTTAATATTTCTATTAATAAAATACTTCCATGTTTAAAAGTTAGTCTTAATACTTTTCCACAATGCTTTATCATAAACTTTCCCCACCAGCTCTTCTCCTTCAATTCCAAACAGGTTATTTCCAGCTTTCTTTTCCTAGGAAGGCAGCAGAAGCCACCGAGGCTGTGTATTGTCTGTTCCCTTGTTTGTGTATGAAGCGAGGGCCAAAGTCCAACACACGGGATGACAGGGCCAGCGCCTGGCACTGTCCTGACCAGTGCTGCGGGTCCAGAGAGGATGCAGCATACTGGCCCCTGTGGTTACTTGGACAGGTGTGTGGTAAACGAGGGTGACTGCAGTCTGTTCAGCATCCATGAAGTCAGGTGTGACCCTCTGTCCTAGGTAGCTGCCAAGATGACCTTTATTTAGGCATAGAACCACTGGTGTGCGTTCTGATGCTGTTACATGCTTTAGAAGGGGCAGAGAATGCACGTTGCTTGAGACACTTCTCCGGAATAGCAAACTTTCATTCATTTCTCTGGATTTTGTTTTGAATCCTTGTTGACTCTTGTTACCCACTTCAACTATGACCTGTTGCATCCTGGAGAGAAGCTAGCAGCATCTGTATTGAGCATTGTCTATATTACATGCCAGGTCCTTTCAGTGGATGTCTTTTCTCTAAAGATTTTTTTTTTTTTTTAATCCCAATGTGATGTTAAAAAGAATAACGTAGCTTTTCAACAGTACGTATCCTATCCTTAAATAATGCTGACTTAGCTAGAGGGCTTTACACCAGTATAGTGTCCCAGAGTTTTAAAATAGAATTGCTTACTAGTCTCTTCATTAATCTGTATGTTGAACATGGAAAAGTTTGGGGGTGTATTTTGAAACTAGTGTGACTTAGTTACTACGGGGGGCTAAACAAGCAAACTATTAAAATGCACGTGTTTGTCTGCAGTAGTAGCACTTTGTCATAGAAAGAACACTTGTGACGAAAGGAAAATGGTAAAAATACATACAGCTTTTTCTGCTATTAACCTTTGATCTGGATGACAGTTGGAACTTAGATCTCTTTTTTTTTTTCTTTTTTTTTTTTTTTCCTAGCCATGCTATGTATCAAATAAGAATCAGGGACGTGTATATATGCAATTAGTTGTTAAGAGAGCAATTTGGTAAGTCTAGTGTAATGCAGTGCTTTCACATTTGGTGCTTAATGAAAGTCAAGCAAATACCTTTGAGGCCTGCTAAGCATTTTTGGTTTTTTTTCATCCTGAGCAGCAATTCTTCAGTATGATGTAAGCGAACATCATCCAAGGTTTCTACCTATGTGTAGATACTGCAGGTGGCAGTCATATTTGCATGTTGAATATGTTGCACTTTGGCTTACTCTTTTATTACTGTACTTGTTTAGTGGTAACGTCACACCAGTAACACAGTTGTGTGTAGATCTATGGCGATTGATTACTACTTTGTAATTAAGGTGCTATTTTCAGACGCTTGCGCGAAGTCTTTTCTACTCCGAGAATTTGTGAACCCAACCAGAGACCAGCCAACAGGTTTCATTTTTCTTTGCCCAAAAAGCTTCTCTTTTTTTGCGAACAAGTTTTAAAACTGACTGATGCTGAGACTTTTAAAAAAAAATTAAAATAAAAAAATGATAAAAAAAATTTTTTAGAGAAAAGTAAATAACACAAAAAGTGATGTTACCCAAGCAAGGCCTTCTAATAAAGGAGTGGCCCCCTCACCCATCCCTCCCTACCTGTGCAAGTTCTGCTCACATCAGTTTCCTTCCATCCAATTAGGCGACCTGGGAGACCCAGCCAGCACCATCCGGAGGGACTACAGAGTGGTGATGGGGTACCTCCAAGAAGCTTGCAGGATGGAACCAGGGAAGGTTATGGCCACTCCACATCTCTTAAAGTACCGCTGGCTCGATCACTCCAGATTAGTGAAGAACTGCTGAGCAGAAACCAGTTTTCTACGGCTGCCAGCCATGGGCCATCTGGACTACAGAATCATGGACAGCACTTAATATTATCCAGGGAGGCTTCTTGGGCAAAACCACACTACGAATTCAATTTCAGCCGCATGAAATTCAGGGGAAATGGTGCACTCAGCAACATCAGTGACCTTCCTTTTCTTACAGAAAACTCTGCCTTTCAAAAAATGGCACTTCAAACTAAACAGGATGGGAAAAAGGACGTGAGCCATTCGTCTCCTGTGGATTTAAAGATACCACAAGTTCGAGGCATGGACCTTTCATGGGAGTCCCGCACTGGTGACCAGTACAGCTATAGCTCTTTGGTAATGGGTTCACAAACGGAGAGCGCGCTTAGCAAAAAGTTAAGGGCTATCCTTCCAAAACAAAACAGGAGAAGTTTGCTGGATGCTGGACCAGATTCCTGGGGCTCAGATGCTGAGCAGTCTACCTCTGGACAGCCATATCCCACCTCAGATCAAGAGGGAGATCCTGGCTCCAAGCAACCTAGGAAGAAAAGAGGGAGATACAGACAGTACAACAGCGAGATACTGGAGGAAGCAATCTCTGTGGTTATGAGTGGGAAAATGAGTGTTTCCAAAGCTCAGAGTATTTATGGGATCCCCCACAGTACACTGGAGTACAAAGTTAAAGAGAGGCTGGGCACTTTGAAAAACCCTCCAAAGAAAAAAATGAAATTAATGAGGTCGGAGGGGCAGGATGTTTCAGTAAAGATTGAATTAGATCCCCAGGGAGAAGCAGCACAAAGTGCGAATGAATTGAAAGATGAGTAGGGATGTTGTAGAGTGCCAATTACTTTGCAAACTGGGTGAGCACTACTGCATAGTTCAACCACCACTGAGTGCACCTGATTCTCCAATTTACTGCAATGCTCTTTCCTTTGCAGTTTAGCATAGACTTGTGTGGACACAGGTAAAAGGTGTGCTCTGAATGTCACATTTGTAAATTTTTCTAGCCTGGTATGGCGCAGTTTCCCTCCTTCACCTGCCCACTACCCCCTTTTTCCCTTTTTTTTCTTTTTTTTTTTTCTTTTGCCTTTTGCATGTTTCTCTGTAATAGAGAGTTGAGTTACCTCACAAAGAATGCAGATCTGTGGAAGTGGACATCTTGCCTGTAGAGCCTGCCTGAATTTCTGGTGTTGGATTTTTCATTTCTGCCTTTATAGAAATAAGTCCACTTTGTTAAACTGATGCTCTCTTAAAAACAGGCTTTTTTTGAATGAGAATCAGACTGTCATTCTTCAAAATGTTTCAGAAATCTCCCCCCCCCCCCCCCCCTCCCTTCTTTCTTTCACTCCCTCACACACACAA